GTCTAAGTCCTTTAACATGAAGGATTTAGGTCCAGCAAAGTAGATTCTGAGTATAAACATTATCCGAGATAAGATAGCTAGAAAGCTGTGATTGTCACATGAAAAGTATATTGAATGAGTGTTTAGTAGATTGAACATACAATACACTAAATCAGTTAGCAGTCCACTTGCCAATCATTTTCATCTAAGTAAGAAATCTTATCCAGTGACTAAGAAAAGAAACTAGCTATATCTAATATTCTTATTCTTCTGCAATTGGTTTTTTGATGTATCTTATGGTTTATACACGGCATGATATTACTCATGCAGTTGGTGTAGTGAGTATATTTTTTTCTAATCCAAAAAAGTTCACTGGAAAGTAGTAAAATGAATTTTTAGATATTTGAAGGGCACTTAAAAAATATGCTTGAGTTATGAAGTTTCACAACCAATTCTAGAAAGGTTTACTGATATTGACATAGCAGGTGATCTTGATGGTAGAAAATTTACTTTGGAGTATTTATTCATTTTTGCAGAAGAAGTTGTGTCTTGACAATTTAAGTTGCAGAAGTGCATTACTTTGTCAACTACAGAGGCTGAGCATATTGCAATAACCAAAATAGATAAAGAAATACTTTAGATGAAATGCTTTCTTCTTGAATTGAGATTGAATTAGAAAGAGTATATGATATTCTATGATAGCCAGAGTGCTTTAGATTTGAGTAAGAATACCATGTACTATGCTAGAACGAAGCACATGGATGTTAGATATCATTAGTTATGTTCAGTGATTGACGAATAACAGATGCTATTGAAGAAAGTCTATACTAATGAGAATATAGTAGATATGTTGACTAAGATATTTTTCAAAGAGAAGCTTAAGCTCTGCAGTAACTTAGCCTGAATGGGTTCATTGGCCAATGTAAATTCTAAATGAAACTGCTATGGTGATGAATTTCTTCCTAACGAGGCTAGAAAAAGAGATTGTTAGAAAAGTAAGGTCTAGCCCTATAGGTTATTTGATTATTCTAAGACCATGAGCTTTCTATTTTTAGACTTCCTTAAGGGAGCCCTACATAATAAAAGGTAATGGCTGGTTTTTGGTGAAAAAAAAAAGGGAAGAAATAGAGGAGGCATTGAAGAGAGAAAAAACAAAGTTAAAAAATAGAGAAAAAAGGAAGAAAGAAAAGTTGGTTGAACAAAAGTAGATCTATGGTCTGATTGAGTTAAAATTTTGTCAGCAAGTTTATAATACAAAGTTCTACATTCCGAACAGTGAAGATTAGGTTTGAAGCTCGCTAAAAACAAATCTAAGGTGTATTTATTGAATCACTTATTTAGTAAGATTTCTCCAATTGTCTCTCTAGTTATTGATTAGCTCTAGTTTTAGCTAGAGAATAACTTTGTATATCTATTATTTAATGGTGATGATTTTTCTTGTGATCCGTGATTTTTTTCCTTTACACTGAAGGATTTTTTCACATAAATCTTGGTGTGTTTTACTTTTCCTATATTTTTTATTATTGATTATTGTTTATTGCTATGGGTTTATTGCGTATATATTGCTTCTGCATTGTTGTGTTTATCGTTTCAAGCCCAATATGATTGTATTAGCTGCAATCTACTTGCATATGATAAATTTTTTGCTGCCCAACTATGTATTCTTGTTGTTATCTTCTCTATTAGTAGAGTACAATCCTTTATGGAGATCTTACGTGTAAAATAATAGAACCCCAAGGTATCTTACAAAGAGTGTGCCTACTTTGAATCTTGTCACCTACACTATCTCTTGCAATGCCTTTCTTGGAATACCTGTAGAAAATAGTTCACTCTTTTCACAATTAAGCTGAAGTCCCAAATATGAATAAAATAATTGTAGGACCTGCTGTTTCCCAAAGATGGAATCCAACTTCCCTTTTGTGAAGATTAGCAGATCATTAGCAAAGCACAAGTGTGTCAATCTTGTTTTCTTTCATTTTGGGTGATAAGAAATAATCTCATAATATATTGCTGCATTTATGACATATAACTTTCATATAAAATATAAAATATAATATAAATATATAAATTTTAATATTTTATATGATACGTATATATGAATCATAGAATCTACTTATTGGCTATCATGAAACTAAAGACGGCTGAAAATTTTCACGTAGAAGAAAGAAGGTTTAATCACCAAGAAACCAATTCAGACTTTGATACGTTTTGACGAAAATCTTCTTCCAAGTTTCATTATTCTAAGAAACAAGGGGAAAGTGGGGAATGTACTAAAAACGTTTAATACTAATCAATTTGCTTTCCTTTTATTTCTTTCTTTGAAAAAATCAATTTGCTCTCCGTTAAATATCATATTTTTTGAATAATTCGTCTCATCTTTCAAGAATATTTAATAAAGTAATATCCCTTCTTTCTTACATATGGATGTTGTTATTTATTGATTTTTCACGAAATTTAAAGAGTGAAAAAAGGATAGTACGTAGAAGAAAAATAGAATGTGTTAAATTAAGTGGTTTATTATAGTGTATTTCATTAGTTTTAAATTGTTATATAATAGAAGCGGATAAAAAGAAAATTATGGACGAGAATCAAACTTATTAAAAATCGCTTTTAAAGGTAATTTTCACTTGAAATAATTTTTAAAATGATTAATGTGATAAATGGTTTTTAAACTGTAACGAAATATTTAATGTAATATTTAAATTTTAGAAATTTTTAGTATGATATTTGATTATTAATTTATTAATTAATATAATACTTATTTTTAATGTAGTTAGCTTTAAATGATGGTATATTATAGACAAACAACTCTTTAAATACCATACTAATTAATAAATTTATAATTTAAATATCACATTAAAAATTTTTAAAATTTAAATATCATATTAAATATTTCACTATAATTTAAAAATGTTTTATGATTTTAAACCTATTTAAATAGAAGAAAATGATCGCATTTTGGAGTGGAGGAACTAAGATGGAAAGTGTGTGGAGAAAAAAAGAACACATATCACAGTTGACTTAATCGACCAATTGGACTCAAAGAGCGTTACTAAACAACTTGCACGTCATTTTATAGAAATAGGATCAATAAGTTCAAAAGTTCGAAAGTTCTTTGAGGCAAGAAAAAAGATAGAAAGAACGAAAATTTACATTCTTTATGCTTTCATAGCTATTTTCATATACGCATTTACCAAGCAAGGAGATAAGGTATTTCTTCCATGCTTCTGGTATCAAGTTTGCACGTTTTGAGATAATGCTTTGTTTTGGTTTGATCACTTATTTTGGATTGATTCAATTTTTATTCTTAATTTTTATTCTCATAATTTGGTTGCTTGTTTTGTTCATTCAGTGACTACTTATATATATAACGATCCAAAATCTCTAATTCTTGTTTTCATATTTTTAGACTATAGTCTCTTTTGTATTAAAAAACAAAGATAAAATCGAATAACATGTTTACCTAAATATCTATTAAAGTGGATCAATTAAGTTGGAGGCTTATATTATGAGCATATTAATATATCAATACGGTACCTATCCACCCTTTTTCAAGTATTTTTGAGTTGAATATCCGTTTTAAAATTTTAAAATTTTATATAACAATCATTGATGCCCGTATATTTCCCAAGTATTTAGCTTTTCCGCTCTCTAAACATACACAGTAATCCACATATTGCTTATAATTAAGTGTTTATAGATTGTACAATAAAAACCATATCTTGTTCTTATATCAACAGGGAAGAGCACTCTTTTAAATCATCTTTTCAATTCAAATTCAGAGAGATGGATGCATCCGAAGGAAGGTTTGTTCTTTCATTGTCGGTAAACCTGATGAATTGAAGTCTGCCCTTTTTGAATCTTTGTCTGCAAGAAAGCCAGCTATCATAAATGCGATCATTGATCCATTTGCTGGTGTAGAAAGTGGGAGAATGTAGCACAAAAACTGAGGTAGGATTTAGCTCTACTTTTTCTTTTGTTTTATATATTGTTTAAAAAAATTCCACTACTTAGCATGCTGGTATCAATGAATAATATAAAAGTTTTAATTCGATTTATGCTCACTTGTGAAAGAATAGATACAGATGATGTTAGCAGATACCATTTTTGTCATTTCTTTTCTGATTGTTTTTTGGTTTGTAATCCCATTAGGCCACTGCACGTCTTAATGATTTGAGGCTAAAAGCAAGTTTGCAAATGTCAAAATAGAATGTACCCTGCTGGAGGTGACACTTGTTTTAGTTATCTATGTTTAAGTTAGTGTGTTTGCTTTTATGGTATGGAGTAAGGTTTAGCAGGAAGTTTGATCTCACTAGAAGAAAAGTGTCGTTATTATTATTGTCGATAGTTTTTCGACCGTCGGTTAAATGAGAGTTGATGAAAATTTTTTGACGATCAAGCCATCGGTGCTGAAGTTTACACATATATTTGCCGAATGCCTTTTTTTTTTATTATTTTAAAATGCCATTATAACTATAAAATACATTTAAAAGCATTTTATTTTAAAATGTCAGTAAAAATCACATTATTTGAATATTTTATATTTTTGAGTGAGCTATATTAACACTTAAAAGTCACCCTTAAAAGTCTTATTTTATTTTTTAAAAATAATTTTTATGTTAAAAAAATATAGAATTCAAAACAAAACAAATTAATGTAGCGTTCTATTAAACTGAGCATTCAACAACATAAAAAAAAATACTAACAGATCTTACTTCATACTATAAAAGCAAACACACTAATATAAACACAGATATCTAAAACAAGTGTCACCTCAATCAGAGTACATTCTATTTTGACATTTGCAAAGTTGCTTTTAGCCTCAAATCATTAAGATGTGCAGTGGCCTAATGGGATTACAGACCAGAAAACAACCAGAAAAAGAGATGACAAAAATGGTATCTGCTAACATCTTCTGTATCTGTTCTTTCACAAGTGAGCATAAATCGAATTAAAACTTTTACATTATTCATTGACACCAGCATGCTAAGTAGTGGAATTATTTTTAAACAATATATAAAACAAAAGAAAAATTAGAGCTAAATCCTACCTCAGTTTTTGTGCTGCATTCTCCCACTTTCTGCACCAGCAAATGGATCAATGATCACATTTATGATAGCTGGCTTCCTTGTCGAAAAAGATTCAGATCGGCCAGACTTCAATTCACCACGTGTCCCAACAAGGTAACCCTTTCCTCCGCAAGCCTCCATTAAAGTGTGATAAGCAGCACCAGGAATAAAGGTAGTGGGGGCAGGATCATCTTTCAATGGGGTAACTTCTTCAGGGCTCCTCCGATCACCTCCATATACTCCACCATTGTTAAAGACTATCACAACCATAGGCAACTTGTATCGAACCAATGTTTGTAGAATTAAAAAAGACAAATACCATATTTAAAAAAATAAAAAATAAAAACACATCTCTGTAAGCAGAGGATATTTGTAAGTCAAACAACCAGAAAAAGCATTCATAATTTTGAGATTTATTTTAGCACCTCCAAAGTATAAAAGAAGTCTTCCGGGATAAAAAATGAAAACACAAAAACAAACGAGAAGACGAGAAGTGCCCTTCACAACGTTATCATTAAACACCCAATTTTCTGCAATTAACTTTGCTACAAATCCATCATGATATTTGGCAGTGGATATATACATGCATAGATACCTACAAAAACACATGCATGTGTGTGTGTGAGAGAGAGAGAGAGATAAGCGAAAAATTGCGCAACTTTTAATCAATAAATTGTGACACAATCAACTTATGGCAAGGAAATCCATAACTCAAAGACCAGATTCAGTTCAACATTGTAAACTATTGTTAAACATGTTTTTGCTTTTTTCTTTAGTGGTAAGTACTAGCCTATTTGAAATTGTCAATGCCTAAAAGGAGCAAAATAATTACTGTTTTCTGACTGATTATGAAGTTATAAAATTACATTGCTAATGCAGATATTCTTTTACAATTTGGTAACTCAATCCACATGAGCAAGGACATAGAACATACAAGTGACACAAAGACAATATATTTAATACTACTTAGCCCTTAAAAAATCATCATGACTACCTTAGGAGGCATTATATTTAATTTCTTCTATAGAAACAAGAAAATTATTTCCATCTTATCCGTCGGTGATTAGTTCATAAGCCAATTTAGATTGATAAACTACAGAAGATAGAATACCAAATTTCTCCATAAACTAAAAATGTAAATTTTGAAGCAAATAGGATTATACATTAATAAATTATTATATTAAATCTTTTGTATGTATAAATTCGTAAACCTATCGCTAAACATAAATTTTAAAAATTATTGTTAATCTTTTTTTAACTTAGATATGATTGCCCACTTAACCGAATCTATCTTATTTTAAAAAAGAGTTTCAAACTTAACTTAAATATTTTTAAATAATAAATTCTAGATTATGAAACTAAATTGAAGGTCAGAAGTGTGATTATATGTTAAAAAAGTTATAGCACCTTCATAGTATCCACTTGAAAAATGATACTAGCTTGATTTCAAATTATCTAAGCTTTAAAAAATCTTTATATTTTATCAAATAATTTAACTATTGAAAATTGTTTTTAAAATTACTCTAATTGTTTGATAGTAATTTAAGATAATTTTCTCACTTTAAGAATATTTATAGAATTAATGTCTTATCCATCATCAAATTCATTAATGTATTTTTCTAATAATTAATTAGTTTTGAAAACAATCAACAAAATCTTCTAGTTGTTTTGTAGGATTTATATCAATAAATATCCCCAATAATTTAGTGAATTTTTTTTTTTAAAAAAAATCTTTCCATGAAAATTTTTAAAAAAAGAGTCATCAAATTTTTAATAATTTGATAAAATTTAACTTAAGATTTAAATCATCCAATCATTTGATAAGATTTAAAATTTATTTTCACAAAAAATTTATTAAGGCTTAATAATTTAATAATACTTAATTCGATATTTAAATTTTCAATCATTTGATAAGATTTTATGAGTTTATTATAAAAATTTTATTATCATTTTTAACTCACAATCTTTAAACTTTATTTTAAACACGCATAAAAAATTTAAAAAAGTTAAGTGAAATAAATTAATAAATATAAAAATAAATATGATAAAAATTAGCTTAATGAACGCAGACAAACCAAAATTATTCCTGGACACACTTCAAGCCTAGTACAAGTCTGTGTTGGCGAGAATCAAGGCCTAGTAAAACCAATCTTTGGTCAACTACTTCAGCCCCTTGTCTTTCTTATCACTACACGGCACCTTTGAAATGCTTCCTCCTGCACGAACTGGCTGCTATTCTCCTCCAATGTTTCCCAAAATTAGAACGTTCACTGTCAAGATTTCCGCCTCTTTTTTGTATCTTTTATCCTTATTTCCTTGTGTTTTCTGTTCCCCGAAGATATCAAAACCCAAATACTAACAATCGAACTGCTAATGTAGATTGGATACTGCTATCTCCAGATTTTCCTCTCAATTTCTTTTTTGCCTCTCGTCTGTCTTTTCCTTTCAATCCCCGATCGCTGGCAAGATCTAAAGATCCAGAAATCGAATGTCCGTCACCGCCAATCCTAGAACACGGACTGTCACCGCTAAGTCGACCGCCGTCGAAGCGATCGCAGTCACTCCTGCTACCCCACCTTGCCTTTCTTCTTCTTTTGTTTCCAGAAATCCACGAAAAAAATCCCTCAACCAAAAGCGTGTAATTCCTCTCTATTTACTGCCCGAGTCTGCTTGATTTTTTTTTGGTTGCGGCGTGGCTGATGGTTCTGGGTCCTGCCTCTGTACGTTTATTGTGATACTGTGGAAAATTTAAAGTGATTGAGATTGCTGGAAATTAGGAATTTGATGTGGTTGTTGATTCTGTAAGTCTTGGCTCTCTTCCCCACCATGTTGGTGATGGATGCTGATTCTGAATGGCAATGTGGGCGACGCTAAACTGATTTGCTGGTAACTTTACCTCGAACAGTGGGAGGATCAGGCGGTTTCGGTGACTGGCGATGGCAGCGAAGGGTAAGGATGGTGGCTGAATCAGCTACTGGTTCTTCTCTGTTTCTCCTTTGATTGGCTGTGTCTTGTGTTTTGCTCTTTTCTGCCCCTTTTATTGAGGCTTAATGTCTAACTTTTGTAAACTGAATCATTGAGGATATTTGAGAAATCAAATCTGCAAATGGATTTCAATACTGATTCAGATTTCGATTCAGATTTTTATTCGGTCCAAAATTTCAAATTCTCTCACAATATCAATGAACTATTCTTGATTCTCAAGTTCAAAACATTCCAATTTTCACACTCTCGATAATCCACACCCAAATCCAACCCTAGTGTTGACCATGATTTTTGCCTAAAATAAAGAATAATAATAAAGGGGAAAAAAACTTTTTCGACCATTTTATTTTGGCTTTATTTCATAATTAAAGCACAATCGAATAATTTTCAACTCAATTACCGGAATAAGATATGAGGCCTACTAATATCAAAAAAATTTGAACAAAATAAGATGTCAACATCGTCAATATAAAAATTCACATTATATTTCTTAATGAGTAAGAGCATTCAAAAACATAACATTATAACATGAATAAAATGCTAAATATTGATCATAACATTATGAGCAAGTAACATAAGCATAAATTGAAATTTTGATCATAAACAAAATGCTGCATTGATGAACTAAATCTTAAGAAACAGCCCAGTGATGTATAACCCCGATTTGGCTTCATATTAATGACAACAACAGATTCTGATATGAAGAAATAATAATTGAAAAAAAAAAAGAAAAAATAGGTGAAACATTATGGAAAAAAGGGAGAGTGAAGAGAAAAATTTATATCAAAAGCATTTGTTTGAAAACCAAACTTTAGAAAATATTAAAGCAGTCAAAAACCTCCAATGATCTGTGGAAAGTCAAAGTACTGCAAATAAACCAAATTCTATGCACTTTAGACCATAGAAAGTTAGAGACCACATTGTCTTTAGATAGTATTATAAAGAAAAAACAGTAACAAAAACAGATGAACAGAACTTATTCCTGTTAGAGTATCAAGTTACAGTATATTTTTGTTAGTATCAGGAGAAGTTGCCCCATCTCTACTATTTTAGCTATCATATCTATTATCTGGTTTTTATTATGGTTTGGCCTCAAACAAATACAGAGGCAATGGTGGGGAGCCATCCAATGCTTATAAGGAACAAGAGCAAAAGAGAGTTTCTCACCTTGTTTGAAATTCTACGAACGCTGGACCGCAGGGTTGCAAAGATAGTACTAAAAATTATCTTAGCATAACTATCATAACATATAATTGAACAATAAAGTAGGCATCAAAGCAAAACATGACAAGATCAAATATTATTCAACCCCCAAGTCAACAGATTAGCCAGGGCCAGCAGACTTTTCTTCTCGCATGGAATTGTCCCGTATATAGGATGTGGAATAAAAAATTCAGAACTATAACCTATAGTATGCATCATGTTTCCCTAAGTGTATAAATCTATTGCCTCCAAGATCCAACCAATATCCAACAGTTCAAAGTAAGGTTCAAACTATAATCTCAAAACATGAAACAACATCCATGTAATTAATTTCTTCTAAGTATAAGATTGTTCACTGGAATCAAGCTCAAAAAAATATTGTATTGAACAAGAGTGAAACACATATGGTTGTTAATGGTAGTATCAACCAGACTAGTCCTGAATCATTACAAAATCAAAATCAAAATGAGGAGAGAAAGGAAGTACCTGTTTCCAAACGGTGTTGACGAAGAAGATGAAAACGATTGAGCTGAAACTAGAAAGGAAAAAATTTGGGATTTTAAAAAATTAAGGAAAGATTTGTTGGATTTTTTCTCAAAACTGATTTGAAAAACAATAGACGAAAAAAAGTGATTCGTGTATACCTAGCTGAAATAGCTCGTTGAAACTTATTTCAGTGATTCTTTGTCGATGGAGAGTGGTTGCTGCAAATTTGAGTATGACTTATTCTTGTTTGTAGCAGAGGAATCGCTACCTTACCCAGCTAGAGGAATCAAAATTTCAGCGTAGATCGAAGAAACTTCTTGTTTGTAGCAGAGGAACTGCTACTTTACTTAGCTAGAGGAATCGAAGTTTTAGCGAAGATCGAAGAAATTTCTCCTTTATAGCAAAGCAATCGCTACCTCACCCAGCTACAAGAATCAAAGTTTCAGCGAAGATCGAAGAAATTTCTTGATTGTAGCTGAGGAAATCGAACCAGAGGAAAAGTGATTTGCTAGTGTCAATGCAGTGTGGTGAGAGTGAGAGAGATTTCAAAAAAAAAAAAAGGAAAATATGAAAAATTTGGGGATTCAAGTTTTATTATTTGGGGATCAAAGTTGAGAGGTGAGTGTGGGTTAAAAGTGCCTTAAAATTTAAGCTATTATGGGCAGTTTCAATAAGTTAGTAAAATAAAATTAAAAATAAAAAAATTATTGACACTTTTATGAACCCTTTAGTGTTTGCTAAATTTAGAATTTTTTGTTAGCGTTTTTAGCACAATATTTGGTCCTTAAGTGTTTATGTCTTAAGCAGGTTGCTGGATTGAGGAAGCGATTGCTTGAATCTATTTCTAGATCAGGACTTGTGGTGATAGACAAGGTGTTGTTCCTACATCTGAATTTTCTTTTAGTGCACAGATGACATGGAAAATTATATATAAAGAGAATAAAGATCTGATTTTCCCCGCTCACAAGGTTTTCTTTTGATCATTACATTCCTATTCGATAACATTTATAATTTATTGGTTCTTATAGGAGTACATGTTCCTTCATCATGTTTAACCAGGTAATGGCCTGCAACAGTTTGTTGTGAACAGATTGCCAATTAGAAGCTCCATCAGTTATTGTCTTAATGAAGTACTTATACTCTTGCATGTATCTTTCTTTTAAATGTTACTCTGGCTGATTGAAATACTCTTCATTAGTGACCGATCAAGTAATTTTGCATAGGATTGGTTAGCATTAGAAAGGCAATTTAATCCAGGCCGGTATCCGGTTTTGGAAGCAAGTTGAGCTCTATCTTAGGAACCTATTTTTCTATGTCATCCATTCTATTTCTCCTTTTGCACTCACTTCGCCTTTCCTACATTTGAATTATTACAAATGGAGCACTGGTTATGCTGAAGTGAGTAAATTTAATAAATAAAAGTAGAGTGGCTTTTCCTTTTATGTGTTTTACCCTTAAATTTCTCATGTTGAAATTTCTTCTACCATAGATATGATAAGGAGGCATTCTACTTTGATGAAAAAGTTAGAAATGAAAAACGAGAACAACTGGAGCCAAAAGCTTTGAACGTAAACTACATAAAACAACTGTCATCTAAACCCGGTTTTGTATTATAGACATCTTGCTTCCTTCTGATTAAGGCACTCCAAAAATGTGCAGATTCTACGTCCTGCTTACCTTGAGTTGTTGGAACATTTACACTCGGAGGCACTGAAAATTTTAAGTTTAGACTGGAACGTTAGGTGAACAAAAGAGTAGGATTTGCAGCTCCTGCTAAATCCTATATCGATTCTGTAATGCTTGAGTTTGACCAAGCATGTGCAGGTAATGTATATAATATCAAGTATGTTTTTGTCTTGCATGTGTACCCTATTGTAAGTAACTGATCCTATGTCAAGAATTAAACATAAATATCAGATCAGTTGAACCATAGAGACGTGGAGTACTGAATTCTGAACAAAATTTATGCTTTAGTTCAAATGCATCAGGGGTATATATACATATGTATATATATATATATATATGTGTGTGTGTGTGTGTGTAACAGTTTTGTCCCACAAATAACGTCTCACAAGTTTTAAGTTTAAGTCTCAACTTATATATTATAACAGATCTTCTGAACATCTCGATATAGAATTAAAATATCACAAACTTCCCCATGAAAGTTTGATGTCTCCGTCATGCCCGGCACAAAGTATACAGAAAATTACAAAATTGCATATACAAAACTAAGATCATATCAGAGGTTGGGAATTTAGATATGACTTTCATTGTATAATACTTAACTTAATTGGGATTCTAGTGGTGATTCCCACAATGCACTTAGCTCTCGTTCGATTTTTATAATATTATTTATGAAAATCCGCACCTAACCTGTAAGATATTATCTGTTTTAACTCAAAGGTCTCACAATTTTATCTTATAAAAAGTGACTTACAAGTTTTAGGTTTAAGTCTCAATTTATATATGTGATCAACATGCATGTAAAAGACCGTTGATTGATGAATCTTCACACTTATAATTAAGAAGAAATAGGACTAGGAAGCATACTTGGTTCACTGCAAAGCCTATGAATTAGGTGGTAAGATGTGATCGAATCAAATAGTTTTTTTACCATATTTAATTTAAAACGGTATAATTTTTTTTTTAATACAATCAGGGGTGTCCCACGACTTTCTTAAGCCGAATCCCTTCATCGAGTACAAAATAACTAGTAATGTTTGCTTGCAAATCTTCCATGCAAATGTATTGTTTTAGCTATTCATTATTAAAAAATCTCTTACAATATCAATATGATCTTTAGAATAACAGCCTTTGTTTTATTTTCATCTTATGCATCTCCGCTTCAGTTAGCAGTTTATTTTTCTGCTTTTTCAGATGCTACCATCAGAAAGGTTAATTGGGATACATCTGAAGTCGGGGAAAAACTTTCCCAAGATATTGATTCGTACAAATCATCGGTTTGTGAAGAAATTTTGTCAAAAGGGAAAGTTAGATATGAGGTGATTTTCTTGATAGCTATTCCCTATAACCATGCAACATATATGTATTTCATCAAAAAGATCTAATATTGACATGTTGCTGATTCTCAGGAACAATTAATAAAGCATTATCTAAACCACTGGATTAACTCTTTGAAATTCCTAATGTAGAAACCTGGGCTTCAATAAGAAAGCTTCTTTCAGGCGAAAGTGAGATTGCAATATCACTAGTGTCAGCTGGCATTTCTGGTTTAAAGTTAGAAGTAAAGAAAAGCAACAAAATGATACAAGATTTGAAGGAATATGCTAGTAATGTTGTGCAAAGAAAAGCAAGAGAAGAAGCTGGAAAAAGTTCTCCACTCAATGACAGTCAGGTAGGGAACTAATGTTCGAATTCATTATTATAATTCAATAGATTTTTAATCATTGAGCATATGTATGATAGTTCTCAGCCATCTTGAATGATGCAACTGTGAAGAAAAAGAAGACATAAAAAATTATTAGGGATACACTGAGGTAATTTGCTTAGTTATTTGATGGCTCGTGGAACTTTAATAATTATATCTCTTACTACTAGTAATCTCAGAAGTCTTAAAATATTGTTGTAGTGCAGTCTCTAGGCTTTTGTCTGTAATAGCTGCCATGCATTAGATGAGAAATCAGATAAAATTGAGAAAATTGCTATTTTCCTCCTTCTAAATGGAAAAGTGCGTTCAAAAACTCTTGCCTCAAACACATGGCCAAAGGTGTAGGTTTGGATGGTTACTTTCTTGATACAATATATTAAGGCATAATGATAAAAATAAGCCCTCAAATTATAGTAAAATTCTTGATACTTGAGTCTTCGCTCTTTTATTTGTGTCAATTGACCTTCAACTTATTATTTGGTGTCAAATGAATCGAATTTGGATAAAAATATTTTGTGTGATGTTAACATTTTTTTTTTATTTAAATTGGGTTTGTTTGACACAACACAATCAATTAAGGTTTCAATTGACACAAACAAAAAAAAATAAAAATTTATCATAGTTTGAGACCTTATTGTATCATTATGCCTACATAGACAATTTGACAATTCAAAAATTTCTCATGTAAAATCAAATGTACTGTTAGGTTTCTCCAAAGGATACGCTGATTACACCAGCGCAATGCAATTTGTTATGGGAACAATTCCAAGTCGATTTCTTGCCTCATACTCAAGCTTTTTTGTTCAATTGCAAGTACGTTATATCGATTAATTGAGGAATGACTTAGGCCTTAATTTCTCTTACGGTTTTTTTTCTTCTTTAAGCGGTGAAAAAGAGCCACTCCATAGGAATTGCGCAAACTGTACTTTCTGTTGCAGCCATTGGAATTTCCGTCTTATGTACTTTATCTGGTCTTCAAACTAGAAGGATGGTCGTCTACAAATTTGTTCCCATATTGATCGTCTCATAAAAGGGAAAATGAGTGATTATTATGCCAATTAGAATTAAAATCTTGTGTTGCACAATTTGGTTAATCATAATCAATCCGGTTTGTTTTCTAATTTGTTTTAATTTTATCAAAACTATTTTTGTTTAGGGTAAATGTCATATTCAATAGTTTCTAAATTATAATGAAATGTTTAATATAATACTTGAACTATTAATCTATTAATTAATATAATATTCACTTCTAATATGATTAATTTCAAATAATGACATATGGTGAATAAAAAATTTTTTAAGTATCATATTAGTTAATAGATTCATAATTTAAATATCACATTATAGATTTTTAAAGTTCAAGTATTATATTAAATATTTTATTGTAATTTTAGGGTTTATTTATGGCATCAACTTTTTTTATTATCTTGTTAAGTTGTCAACTTTCATGTTTAAGTCTAATTGTATATAAGTCAGTCTAATTTTATGTTGGTTTTTAAGTTTAATATTTTATTAATTTCTTTTATCCATTATCGTTGGATTTTTAAATTTTACAAATGAAATTAATATAGTAACACATATATCTCTCTTAGGATATATTTAAACAAAATTAAAAAAAATCTAATTAAAAAGAATAATATATATCCATTTTTAATTAACTTATGAAATTAAAAAATTTCGTTGTTAATATATTAAAAATGAAATCTTTATCAAAGGGTGTCAGATGCACAACATATAGTCCCCATAATCTGGCGGAAAGAAAGTAGGGACTAAAAGGAAAAAAATATGAACATGAGTGCAAATATATATATATATATATATATATATGGAGTATATTAAACAAAAAAAAAGAAATGTAAACAAAAACAAACAAACAAATAAATGGAATATACAACAAGAATAAAATTAATATTATCCAACAAGGATTTGTTAATAGTATATATATTGTAATAGAACCCTCAACTTGCATGATTCAAGGGAGAATAATATAAAAAATCCGTAACAAAAATACCAAAGCCATAAGTTTATTTAATATATTCCTCAACTTGCAACAGTGCCCATGTATGCCGTAAGTTTTTGATAAATGTTTTTCTTTTTCCGTACATAGAAATAACTAATAACCACACATATATGTAATATATTCCATATCCTGTATCGCCTCAAATTGAAATTTTTAAAATCAAAATATTGCTAACTTGAATTTTGATCATACGTTGAATATATATAACTTATTTAATTGTGGATTAGAAAATATACAGAAGCTGGTATTCTCCTAGCAGAATTATTTATCATATTCTAACCGAAAACTTAATGTAGACACTTTAATCTATTGGGATTCTATTTAGGTTAATTTTGTTAATAAAAAATAAAAAATAAAAAAATAGATAGTTGAATTTATGTAAAATTATTGAAACTGATTTGTAAAGTTAGAGTTAGGTTTAAGGTTGAAATTCAACGAAAATTACGATTCTTTTCTGGATTAGAGTTATTAAATCCAAAACCCTATAAATACATATCCACACAGATCATATAAAGACATATAAAAAAATCAGTGAGAGGCAAAAATCAGAGAAAGTAGTCAAGAAAATTTTTCGAAGATTTTTTTGGGGGTTTTAAAAAAAAGAATTTTTTTTTTGCAAAAAATCTAGAAAATTCTCAGATTCTAGTGATTTTTTCCAGTTTTTGCTTCTGAGTCGAGTCGCTAAGCTGCTTTCTGTGTCTTAAGCCAAGCTGCTCCATTCGAGTCGTTTCATTTTTTTTTTTTTGGTTTTTTGATATTATTTATTTATTATTTATGTGTTTGTTATTTTAGTATTTGTGCATGATTAAATTTGAGAAAAAATAAAAATATATTAAAAATAAAACTATTTTTTTGAGAATAAGTATTAATTATCAAATGATAGAATTTATAAAAATTTCAAATGGTAAATTTCTATAAAATTCTTAGGTGAGAAATTTTATCTAAATTTGTCCTAAATTGTGGAATAATTTAGATAAAGTTTCAATAACAATAATTAATATTTATTTTCAATAAAAAAATAAAAAATAAAAAAAATAAAATTTTGGTTGAAAATATGTGACAATTATCCAATGATGAGATTCTTAGAAATTTCAAATGGTAAATTTTCTAAGAAATTTCTAGGTGGGAAATTTCTTTAAATTTTTCCCGAATGGTTGAAGAATTTAAATGAAATTTTAAGAAAAATAATTGTCATATTATTTTCTTTCAAAAAAAAAAGAATTTCTAAATAGACCCAAATAGTGGAGAATTTAAAAATTTAAAAGAGAAAATATTTCTAATTTGGTCTAAATTGTGTAATAATTAAATATATTTTCAATAAAAAAATAATTAAACCTTTTTTCGACGACAGCCTCTTCAAAAAAACAAATGAGATTCTTGAATACTCTTGAGGTGAGAAAATATTTTTAAGAATTTTACCAAATTGATGGAGAGTTTTAAGAATTATTTCCAATATTTCAACGTAAAAATTTAAAGACCATTAGAACTAAGACTCTAGGATAAATTTAAAATAAAATAGTATCATCCTTTAGATGGACATGTGAGGGTGCTATAACTTTCCTCACATGTAATCAAACTCTCGAATCATGTTCTGGTTAATAGACCTAAACCTATTCTTTTAGAGACCTTTAGTCAAGTTTAGAAGCTCTTTAAGAGGATATATTTCTTAGGCAACCAATCGCACTTAGTGAAAAAAAAAAGGATTGGTGGTGACTCTATTTGTTAAATCTAGCTAGAGATTTATAGATCTATATGTTACGATAGTTTGGTGACTCTATTAGAGATGCTATAGAGAGTCAAGCCATAAACTTTTAAATTTATCTTATTCTTTGGTTTAATGGTTTTAAATTGTAACAATTTGTGTTATCTATTTACTAACATTTTTATCTTTTTATCTTTTATTTTAGGGCATGAAACCTATATGTTTCTTCATATATTATCACATGTATTTGCATTACATGAGCTCTATACCAGGGCTTCATCTCTTTTAAGATGGAGTAAAGTACCTACGCTCTTATGAGATGATAATTTTTACAATGGCTAGCTAAATACTCTCACTCAAATTGAATCTTTTCTATTAGTAGCCTATGATAGGTGAATATTGGACTGCCTTACTAGTCTGTGATGAACAATGATGTGAGGAACAATTTGAGAACCTTTAGTGGTCAAAGTCACCTAACCCTACATATAGTTTACATTTAAGAGGTCAGCCTTAGGATAGAGCTATTTCTACTCATCAATAGATGTACCCTAAAATTAGGACACAAGAAGAAACAACTCTTATATTGATTATCTAACCATTTTGTTTATTTGATTTTGTATATTTGCATCATTTCCATATCATTTAATTTCATGCATCATTTTCATCATCATATTTAACATTATCATTTGCATCATTTTCATATAGGAAATATTTGCCACATCTCATACCTTCATCCATGAAAATGTATGTTACATGCATTACACATAAAGCATGTCATTTTTTATCATAATTGTGGTACTTAAGGTTCAAGGATAGCTTCACCAAGAAAGAACCTTACTCACCAATATAATACAAGAGCTCGAGCCAAACAAATGGAACAAAAAAATTTTAATCGTCTTGAAAGGATAGAAAAAGCCTGAAAAAAACTTAAAGGGGAGTTGAATAAGATTTTAGAGGCTTTGAACAAGTTAAATAAAAGGAAAAGAATAGAAAAAAATACTAGCCAACAAGACCATCTATCATAAGAGGTAGTGACCCCTTATATTTGTCTGATTTTGGTCCACTTCAAGCTCAGTCTATACAAAGAGAACCACCATAACAATTCACATACCTAATATATTTTAGAATGCCATTAGCTTCAAACCTAGGGCATTATCATAGCTATGTGAATCTTGTTTTTAATGAAAATGGTGGTCTTAGTTTTTAATCTGCATGACCAAAAAGAAAAAAAAAGAGAGAAAGCAAAAGTGATTGAATCTCTAGAAGACTCAAAGATTAGTATGTTGGAAGAGAGGTTAAGGGCTATGGAAGAAATTGATTTTTATGATTCAGTGGATGTTGCTGGGTTCTGTTTAGTCCCAAATGTGGTTATTCCATCGAAGTTTAAGGTGTCAAAGTTTGAAAAATATGGTGATACAAAGTGTTTGAAGAACCACATTACTATGTACTGTCGAAAGATGACTGCCTATGCTAATAATGAAAAACTGTTAATGTATGTGTTCTAAGATAGCCTTACAGGCTCTGTTACTAGGTGATATGTCTAGCTGGATAGGACCCGCATTCATTCTTGGAGTGATATGGCCTATGATTTCATTAGTCAGTATTGGCATATAATATATTTAGCTTATGATCACCTGTCTTTGCAAAAAATGAAAAAAAAGTGATTAAATCATTCAAGGAATACACTCAAAGGTGGAGGGATGTAACTTCTCAAATGCAGCCTCCTATGACTAAGAAATGGACTATAGTGTTATTTTTCAGCACTTTGAAATCTCTCTATTATGAAAAAATAATAGGGAATACAATAAAGAATTTCGTCGACATGGTAAACTCAGGCAAAATTATTGAAAATGACATTAAAAATGGTAAGTTGAAAGGAGGGAAAATCAAGAAAGGGCCAGAGAAGAAAAAGATTGAAGTTCAAGCCATAAGCTTTGATAAACAGTTTAGGGGATATCAACCCTATCCACCACAAGGTTATTTCCTATACTATCTAACTGTGAACAATACCTTATCCTACCCAAACTGACTAGCCCCATTGCCATATTATCCATCAATATACTAGCCCATTTTTAGTCCTCAAGCTCTCACATATAGCCTTAATATTTAACCTCTTGAAAGATCCCAAATTCATCATGCTAACCCAACAAGTGGTTCACGAGAGCAACGAACTACCTGAGAAAAACTCATATTTGATCCAATCCCTATGACTTATACAAAATTATATCGAGAGCTTTATAACAACCACTTGATTACCTTTAACAGTCTGGAGCCACTTAAGCCACTCTATCTTAAGTGATACGATCCT